TCTGAAAACTTGCTCTAGGTCTGGTTAACAGTTTTTAAAGGTCATTCCATTTCTGCAATACATGGTAAATTTATTTACGTCTAGTGATTAAACGATGCAATTACTACATTGTTTTGCAAAATACAGCAAGATCAGACTGAACAGGTACTGATGAGGCATAGGCAGAAGAGGAGTTCATACAAGCACAGTGGGATGTTTAGTGACACACTGTATAGGTCCTGTTAATTATATATGTATAGGCTTTTATTATTTTTATTATAATTTACTTCTACAAATATCCTTAAAACGTATTTCACAAATGCAGGTAATAAGCTTACATACTGTTTAAGTGAAGTTTAAAGGCAGGTAAAATGGGGAAGGACCAAGGTCAGCTAACGGGCTGTGTGACTTTCTGAGTTGAGAGTTGGAGTAATAACACGGTGGTCAGGCAAAGCTGTACCGTGGGAAACATACTTGCATCATCACATATTGATTCTAGTGCACTAGGCATAGCCATACTGGACTGTAAAATCAATGAATATATTACAGCCAACAAATTAATATTTGCAGTGTAAATACACCTGCCTAGTTTTCAATCCTTGACTGAATAATATCCTGGATGCTATTCTTTACAGGATTTTTTTATATTTCAGTTTTAAGGTTTATGGTATTAAGCCTTCCAAGACTAATTTTTTTTTATTTATTTACTGCAATGACAGAAAGAGAGGTCACACCCTAAGGTAACTGAATATTGTCCACTCAAGTGCTGTGGACATGGTTTCTAAGCACCATGATTCCTCAGCCAGTCTCACACAAGCAGTCCAGCTGTCATTTGCTCTACCTTAACACTTATAAAATCCTACTCAGGTATAAGCCCATCATGCTGAGCTGTGGTGAGCATAGTAGGAAGTTGTTCTATGGCATGACCAGAAAGAATAGGAAAAGAAGACAAAGAAGAAAGAAAAGAAAAAGAGGGAGAGAAAAAGAGGGAGAGAAAAAGAGGGAGAGAAAAAGAGGGAGAGAAATAGAGGGAGAGAAAAAGGAGAAAAAAAATAAAAGGAAATGAGCTGTGAGAAAGGATGGTTGTTTTGCACTTTAAAACAGACCAAGTGAAACTTTAAGAGGAAGTTTCTATGTGGTAGAGAGAGGTAAAGAAATGCAAGAACGACTGAGCCAATTCCAGGAAAGCTTTCAAAAGACTTTTGTATGCTAAGAGGAATATTTTGGCCATGTTAAGCTCTCATGAACTAAGCAATACTCTTTCCTTTACTATACAAAAACATTTTCTCAGAGGGAAGGAATCCCTAAGAGAAAACTGACTTGTGTAGAGTGTCCGTGCAGAAAACACATGAAGAAAAAACATTTGCATCCCCCCTAAAAATATTTTTTGCATTTTAAAATATTAATTTATGCATACATTAAAGAAATGAGAAAGGCTGACCTTCTACCATAGAACTATGAGCAAAGTGAGATGATATCCATATACATTGTCCATACACATTGTCAGGAAGATTTAGAAGGCACATTTCACAGAGCTGGCTGCTTTTAGTTCCCAGAAAGTAGTCCCGGGGCGTAGCACAACTGATAAGAAGACATATGGCTATTTCAGAAGGCAAACACTGACATCATTCTCTTATTGTTAATGGGGCAGCAAATGAGCATACGGGCTCAGAAATACCGAAAGGTGGGGTGGGAAATGGGAACCAGAGAATGACTCTGTAACAGACAATTTAACTTCAGGTTTTGCTTATCAGAAAAAGAGAAGACATTGAACAAACAGGGAAATAAAAAAAAGGACCTGCACAGAACTGGGAGAGTCCTTGATTTGGAGGGGAGATCCCAACCACAAACAGACTCTTACCTAAAGCCAGAGGGTGCTTCAGCGTGTTGAGGAAACATGGTCATGGATGTAAATACAGGACTTGCATTATTTGGGTCAAAAATTGTCTTTTAAATGTGTTTCAATCTATCTAGATGGACTATCTATTGGATGTATTTAACAGAGTAGCCATTTGTATGATGGTTACTGGTTATGGTGTCTCAGAAATGGCCTGCACCTGTCTGAGGTCCTCATGCTCAATGCCCAGGCCCACCACACCATAGATCTGAGGACAAAAAAGTAGTTGTTATTTTTTCTACTCAGAGGCAATCAGCTATTTTTTTCCCCACAGACTTTGAATTAAATGGTAGCTACTTTTCCATTTCCTTTCTTGCTTGATAGCAGTCCCTGTTTAGATTAGATCTAGAGACTTTAGGTTAAGCTTAGTCTGTATTTAAAAAGAAATGCAAACCCAGTTAACTCACTGGTGTTTTTGGGGTGCTTATCACCGTAACACCTGACCCTTTTTCTGCTGTCTTCATTACAGATGCTTATCTTGGTTTTCCTCTTTGCAGAATGAAAAGCTATAAAGTAAATAAGGGAGTAACACCTATTACTTCCTTTCATAATTTTTTTCCACAGCAGTTTCAGAAGCCCCAGCCGTGAGCTGCAATCCTGTTATGCCAGGCAACATTAAAATGCAGCATTCCTGGCTCGTGGAGCCTGTCGTTCAGCTTTAGGACAAGACAAACACATCAGGAGGTAACAAAACACAGAGCTTTTCAGAGCAGGTGTACATGACAGACCCGATTCCTTGTTATTATTTTGAACCCTTATGACTATTTTGCCAATACATTGGTTGAGGCACCTCATCATCCTGCCTGCTACCAAGGGTCCTTGACATAACGGAGCCAGGAATACCTGCTCCATATTCTTGTTCCACAGATACTACAAGAGGAAAGAAACCCAACCCAAGGCTTGGTTCAAGTCAAACCAAAATAATCTGTACCCCAGTGCTAAGACGAGCTGCCTAAGTGCTAGGTAGATTAATTAAGCTGCAACTCCTTGGATCATTGTGCAATGGAACAGGAAGGGAGGGCGTTCAGGGCCGTAATCTCAAGTTGACTATACCAGCTCTCCAAACCAGGGTCATGAGTGTGACAGAAACAGAGAGGAAGCCGCACTTGTAGGACTATGACTAAGCCGAGCATATTGATGTTAAAAGCACGGCAGAACACATACAAAGCTTTAGAAGACATTGTGCCAGCCTCGCTCTTAAATTGGTGTTTTAGCCTGTGCTTAACTCAGGACTTGGAACCTCAAAGTAAACCAGAATGCCACCATCACTTTGCAGCAGCCTGTTCAAGAAGGAATAACCACCAAAACTGGCAAGAAGCAAAGGCCCAGGATTCTCTTCAAGTTCTGTTATTAGGCAGATGGGCTTCATTATATACCGAACAGTTAAATGGACAGTTAAAATTGAGATCATACCAGACACTAGAATGCGTGCTCAGGTTAATTACAGAACTCTTCTTTTTGCTTTAAAGATATCAAAATAAACATGAAGAAAAAGCACAAGTCTACCTGCCTTGGACAATCCTCACCAAGGTTTGCTGCTTTCTGAGTGGTACAGAAGCAGAGATGATATACATGACACATAGGTGTCAAACTCTTATTGACAGAGTAGCCCAACCAGCGGGAGCTCTGAAAATTCTCTGCTGGCTCATAGCCACTGTCAGCCATAGATAAAAATCAATCATGATAAATTGAGTGTAGTCTTCAATTGCCAGATGTTGGAAATAACCATGTTAGCATATAAAATATGAGCAGCTGCCAATATGGCAGCATTCTTTGCTGGTAGGAACCGCATTTTATCAATGATTTGTTAATAGCATTGGAATGAAAGTATGATTTGGAGACTACTAAACTGTGGCTTGGTGGCAATTTCTCCATTTAGTGGTTTTCCTTTGACAGTTCCCCGAATACTCTACATCTCCTCATTGTGCTTGAATAGAGAAATGACCAGTAACATATGGAAAGACCCAAATTTACCGTGCTCACAGCGCTGGTGCATAACTAAGAGCTTCCTCAATCAGGGACCTGGGCTGAAGGTCATCACCCCTTTTACCGATTATGACTTTCTTAGGCAGGGGACAAAATTACCAGGTTTGTGGAAATGCAGAGTCTCGTCTGTGATCCTCAAAGGAATATGGCACATGACAGTGTTTCATCATGCAGGAAACAAATCTGTAATAATGCGTTTCAGGACAAAACCCATCAAGATTCTGAAGTGACTGAACTTCAAAAGGAAGAAAAGGAAATCCTCTTGCTTTATTCAATTTATACATAAATATCATGAGATGGACTATAACAAATAGTTTCTCTTGTACAGGTTACATTCACAGCGCAGAGATGACAGCGTATTTCGGACAGCAGTATGCTCACTGCAGAAGGGCACGCAGGGCAGGTTCAGAACAGCCCAGGAAAGAGGATCCACATCAAACAGTGAGCCACAGCTGAGCTACAAGAACATGCGAAGTAGCTTTGTCACATACTTGTTTTTGATGGCTCTGGGAAAGCCAGCCTGTGTCCATTGCACTGCCCAGGCACAAGCTGTAACAAGCCTCTTGAGCAGTAAAGTCATTTCTCCCTGCTTTGCTGGCAAGATGATCTAACCTCCAGCTAAGCCCTGAAAAAACCTTAACAGAAGATGAAATAACCCTGGTACATAAATATATTCACATTTTGGATATCTGCCCTTAGTATTCAGCAGTCCTTGGACAACTGCCATTAGCTCTGCTGTCAATACTCTTCACCTCTGTTCAGAGCTCAGAAGCCAAGTTTCACTTACATTTCCAGTTTTGATTTTTCTTCATGTTTTTTTTGGTTGGTTTTTTTTTTTTTTTAATTTTAGAGATGGCAAAAGTGGAACAAGTGTTAACACACACATTTCCTCAAAGCACCCCTCCTCCACCAGTTAGACAATAATTATACACAATAATAATACATATATGGCTTCATTTAAACCTAGTATTTCATTGTGCATGGAAGACCACCTTCTCTGGAAGACTTTTCCTACTTTGTGAATGAATTAATACTTACAGTCCCTTTTCACAGGAATATAATCCTTTCTGGCATACCACTCTGGCTGTGATGTGGTCAGCACTGACGATAGCTTCAGAGATCAGACTCCATCCTATGTGTAGTACTGTCTATTTGGTGAAGTGATTACCATTGTGTGCATTTTTCTCTACCTTTTGCTATTTATACAGGGTCTGCCTGAAGAAATGCTTTTGTTGGAGAATGTTGTTCAGTCCAGAAGATTTTTCAAAGTATGATAATACATCCTTTATTATTTCTGGATGCAGGGGGTAGAGTTGAAGACAGTCTTCTAAAATGACGTACCCTTCAAATTCGGACTCCTTACAGTGTTTTGTTAATGACAAGACATTCAGAGACTGCTTGGAACCAACCCTTTTTCTTGTATATCGTCCTGCTGACACGTTTCTGACAGGGTACCTGCATAATCCATCCTTCAGCAGCAAATTACCATATTGTTTCAATTTCATAGCTATTTAGACATATTTTGTTTATGACATTGTCCTTTTAGTTCTGAACTTGAAAGTAGATGGCAGATTCTTGTCTCATTCTAGACTTTTCAGCTGCCCTAGTTTGTGGGATTTGTTCATCTGCTGCATTGGATATAATAGTCGCAGTGGATTTGTCATCTTTTCCTCTTGATTCATTGCAAAAAAAAGAATCAAGTGATTCATAAATTGTAGACACAGCCTTAAAAAGAAAAGAAAACTCCAGTCAAAATAACTTTTACCCATAAAGACTACTTAAAATGAGCTTCTACCCAAGACACAGCACCTAGCACAGCCCAAGGGAACAGAGAGAAACATCATCATTGACAAGTTGCCCAGAGAGGTAGTGGAGGCCCCATCCCTGGAAACATTCAAGCCCAGGTTGGACGGGGCTCTGAGCAACCTGATCTAGTTAGCGGTGTCCCTGCTCCTGCAGGGGGGTTGGACTAGATGACCTCTAGGGGTCCCTTCCAGCCCAAAACATTCTATGATTCTATGGGGCGTGGAATTATAACTTCAGTGGGAAAGAGAAAATCAGTATTAACACTGAAAGATAAAGTCTATGTTTGGATTCAATTCTCTTAGTTAATTAGGTACCAGGCACAAAGTACTTATTTAGAATACCAAAGATGTCAAGTTCCAGTGTAAACCAGGTTCTATGAAACCTGAAATGGCAAAGCTTTTTTATCCCCTTAATCATTTAACTCCAATATTTCCAAAAAACGTTATCACACTGTTCCTTCTGGATGGACAAAAAAAAAGACTTAGCACGCTGCTGCAGTATTCAGGTGTTATTCTGGACTGTGCAAAAATCATCCTGTTTTAATTTCCTAAGCACGTGTAGGATTTGGGATCTTCAGGTAAGTCCTTTAGGAGAATTAAAGATCTCCCTGAAATGTGCACAAAGACGTGTGCTCACAGACATATGAAATCAAATTCTCAAGCTGACATGGCATAAAATAATAAAAAGGTGGAAGTCATGAAGTGGTAGCTTTTTGTCTTCACACTTATGCTTTACTATGGGGGTTTACTATTTTTGTTTTAATGAATGATGAACAGACAGAGGTACCTGCTGACTGAATGTCAAACAGGAGGCACGGTAGACATGGCCAGCTAATCTGGATCATGCTCTTATACTTTTCTGCACAACCAGAGCCCCTCAGGAGTGTTCTTTTTGTGTGGTTCCATGAGCTGGAAGTTTGCATTAATGCTACAGCAGTGCTTAGATTTGGGCTGGAACCTGCAGAGCTTAGCAATGAAAAAATCATCAACTGCTCCAAGAATTCCCTCAAGGGCCAGATTCCCCTGCAGCTGGCAGAACTGCCTGGGAAACACTCCCTGAGCACCTCATCTCAGGAGATATGGGATGGATCTCCAGAGAGGGAGAGACGTGTGCTATATAGTAAAAGCACACCTACAGTGGCCAGCTTTGCCATGGGGATGTTCACTTTCAGGTTAAGCTATCTTTGGTACTTGGAGCTATGTGTTGTCATCTGACCTAATTGCTCAGCATTGTTATGACATACGATACGGGTGAGAATAAAACCCATGCCTTGATTCAAGTTCCATGATACAAGATTGCCTTCGCAAGCCCAAGAATTGGAAAAAACCATGATGTAAATTGGAGACTGTAAATAGCCTTGCAGAGGCGTACAGAACCTTCAATGTTTGCTGTTCTAGAAATGGTGCCCAAGCCTACCCAGAATGTACAGCGAATTTTCAAGCTTAAAAAAAAAAAGTGTAAGCAACGTAAAGAACTAGTGTGAACTTTTTAGACACTTCTGCACAAAAAAATAAATGATACCAACCATTTCCTGCAACACAATTGAAAGGCAATGAGTGCAGCTCCAGAGACACCATATTTGCTCATCACTATTGGCTTAATGTGTTTGAAATATAGTGTCCATGCACATCGTATCTACTGGCTTTACTAATCTACCGGATCTCTTGAATGATTTGTAAGATCCAATTATGCTTTAACATTTAAAATGATACCACTA